TGCAATGCAAAAACACATATTGACGAGGAATTGTTTGTGTGTCCGTGTTTCTATGTGTCTGTGCGTCTGTGTGTCTGTGTGTTTGTGTGTGCATCTGTCACGCGCTTTTATCTCAAGGCCTATAAAAGCTGCGGGGCTGAAATTCCGGGAACTTAATTTCGGCCCCAGCCCCCAAAATTGGTGCCGTCAGCCGCGTGGTACCCGCGTGCGGCCCCGCCAAAGTTTTTTTCGGTAAGTTCATAACTCGGGGATCTGAGCAGCTAGAACGCTGAAATCTTAGGCGGATGTTCCTCGTCCAACTGGGCATTAATGCAGTGAAACCCATCCCCCGGATAATGGAGGTACCCGCGCACAGGCTCGCCAAAATTTTTTTCGAGCAAGTTCACAACTCGGGGATCTGAGAAGCTAGAACGCCGAAATCTTAAGGGGATGTTCCCCGTCTAAGTAGGTGATAACTCAGGAGCCAGGAAAGCTAGAAAGAGTAAATTTTAAGGGACAGTTTCATACCAGTTCTGACGGCCAGCCTTAATTTGTTCAGCTAGAAGCATTTGTCGAAAAAAACGATGCCGATAGCGAAAAAAATTGCGGGAAACTATGCAAAAAACGCGTCTTCGCACGGGCAGTCCGTGCGTGGGCCAATTATTGTTATTGAGGTGCCCGCACAGTCGGATTCAATTATGTCAGGCCTTTCGATCCTAAGTTGCGTTTCTCAAGCGAACACCCACTCCTTCTTCCGATATGCGCGTGCCAGAGAAGATCATTCATATTGAATACTCTCAGAAAAACTGATGAGTTCGCTTACTGATGACTGGTTCCGTATTCTTATTATTGCAGCAACACAGACTGCTTGCCCAGTCGATGCGTTTCGCTAGCGAAGCAACATATCAAATAACAAAACCGTTCAAGCTGCATCGTCTGGATTCTGGCCCATCGCTGACAGTCACTTTGAAGAGAGATGATGCTCTTGATATGTTTAGAAAAATGCAGGTATGCTATTTCAATTACTGAGCGAACTCTGAGATGAACTGCTGTTTCTGGATCGAGATCAAGTTTTAATTGAGTTTGAGCCAAACTAGTGCCAATTTGATAAATCAAAATTACATTTAGCGGTTGTTTCAGTCTCTAAAATCAGGACCAAAGAATTAGTTCCCTATGCGAGACGCCGGTTTTTCAGGTATCTCGCCGTATGGAAATGGCTGCGGATCAACTGTACAAGGAGAAGAAAATTCGTGGATTTTGTCACCTCTATGCCGGAGAAGTTATTTTTACGTCACTCATTTAAACTTTCATCGTATACTTTACTCTCCCCTTCAATTATTAATGATTACTGAGGAAAAAATTCAATAACGATCAAGTTTTATGGATAGTTAAGAAGGGTAGCGCTTAGCCTGATTTATTTTTTCCATCTCATCCTAACATAGTTGTCCAGTGGAAAAGTTTTATCAAATTGCTGTTCCATTTTAAGTTACCGTAGAACACAGTAAAATCTCAGTAAGATTCAATTTGCAGTAAGTTTTTGCACTTTCCTTCCAGGCAGGAGGCTTAGTTGTTGAGCGAAGAACTACAAATTTCGGTAGAGCTTGCCCAGTTCAGTTTTTAAAAGATATAAAAGTTGAATCTTCGCCATTCTACTATATGAAAGACGAAGGAGCTCAAAAGTAACTCAAACGATGGCAAATGGAAACAGTTATGAAAATGTTTTTGCTTTATTTTAATTCGCTCCATTTTTGCAAATTTGCCAGTTGCGATAATTTGAAACTTGCATGCGAGTATTTCTGCAATTAAAACACAGAAGATAATGTTATCAGAATTTTTCATTCTGCCGACAGAACAGATGAGTTAGAACTTCCCTTTACAAGTGATAAAACAAAGGTCAGAAATGCCAACAGGCTGATCACTAGTTAATGCAACACTGGTAAAAGCATTTGGAAGCTTCATAGTTGGCGGATCAGCTTTGAACAGAAGTTGATAAAAGTATCAAAGTGCTATCAGGCTTTTAGGACGAGAAACCAAAAAGTGTAACACTTGTCTGCAAAAAATTGTTTGCGACAGTGAATGTTCGGGATACAAATGATTTTTGTTTTAGGAAGCATGTGCTGTTGGAGTTTGCGCGGCAAAGGATGATAATGACCACATAATAACATCGTACAGGTGTCATGTGTGGACTTATCTAACAGGAACACCAGTTAAGAACATCCTGTCGGAATTACTTGGTGAATAACATTAACAAAGAAAATAGCCAGAATTTTTATTGAATTGCAGATTCCTCGTACTTTTATTCCAGGGCTCGAACCACAATAACACTGAAAATTCCATTCTTCATTCACTGATTAAGAGTTAATGACAAGAACTTGTTATTCTAAGGTAAACTTTGTAGGACCCGGTATATTAGTAAGCGAAGTTGCTCTCGGGCTGAATTTAAGGCTTCGATTTAATTCAGCTAGTGGGAAATCCAGCCCTACTATATGTTGTTTCTACGAAGAATTGGTATTTTCGCATGCCAAGGACTGAAAATCATCTTCAACTTACTTCTAACCATCGACACCCTTGCTTACCACAATGTTGAAAA